ACAAAGAGCTGTTGGGTTGCACATTGTTGTGATGCTCTGGTTTCAGGCACCCAAATGAAATCACTTGCCTACAAATATTTCTTCCTTAATTTTTTTAAATCAGCCTAATTTTCAAGACATTTGTATAGAAAATGGCAATGGTTCTCTTCGTAACTGTGGCTCTTGAATAGTGTAGTCCCATCCTTTTAGCTTTGCTGTGCTTTTTCCTTCCTTGCACTAAATCAAGAATGGAAAAATAGATCAAAGTAGATAGCACTCACTGTCCGAACACTGCTAGTTTCTGTGGGCAGAAGTAGATAGCATTAGCTAGTGGTAGAGTAGAACCTGATGGTGGTTAATATTGTGCTCCTCTATACCCAGATAAAAAAAAGTAGTTTTGTCGGTGATGGGTGTAATCTGTTTTTCTGGTTTACTTGCTTGCAATTTGTCCTTGCATTTGGTTGTGGGAGCAAATAGGAAACTAACATGAAGCTTTTTTATACAGCTACAATGTAGCTTTATTTGCAGGCTAAGCACATTTTGCTGTATTAAATTTAATTTCTCCTTTTTCTGTTTGTTTTTTCTGTGTGTGTGTTGTTGGTTTGTTTTTGTTCTGTTTTTGTTTTTAATAGCTGATTCTTATAGTGGTGACAAATCAAATGTGAGTACCATTTTTACATTATTGTTTGGTTTAGAGATACATGTTTAGCAAAAGCGATTTTTTTTAAAGCAAACTGTCTGTAACATCCCCAAATCAGAACGGATTTTTTTTTTTTCTTACGGAAGTGAGAGAGAAAAAATACAACCCAAATCAAGACATAGTCTGAATATGGAATTTATGCATTCTCCTCTTATCTGGAGGTAATGGTAATTATATAGTACTCAGTTGCTGGAGCCATTTATCCATTCTATTTTAAATGCATGGAAATTAGAGGAGACCACCATTCTACTATCTCCTCAATTAAAAAACAAAGCAAAACAAAACAAAACACCACAAATGCTACTGTGAAGTTGTCAATATTTCATATTCTGTTTGCCACATAAAAATAGGCATAATTGCTTCCTATCAGACTCAAATACAACACTTAGTGGAACGGAATATGACATCAAGTGTCTAAAATTGCCCTTGTTTATAAGGATTTTAAATATGTAAATGTGTCGTGTAATGGGATCCTCAGTGAAGCCTGAGATTTTATTTCATTGTGGATAAAAATCTAAAGGTTATAGGCTGTTTTGCTGGCAGCCATATGAAATGAGAGAATTTTTTTTACAATCACAAATCGCTTTGCATGTTGTGCAGAAGATTACAGAGAAACAAAATTGATATTTTCTTTAAATTTGAGTCCCTGCAGGTATCTCCGTTCAGTGCTGCTTAGAGCTTTCTTTCAGATTTCTTTTTTCTTTTTTTCCCCTCCAGTTGAAGTTTGCCAAGCCTTTCTTTGCAAACCAAATTATTATTTTATCATTTGGATACTGTGGGCAATCCCAAGTGTCAGTGAAGCTAAGAATATTACCTGCTAACTGAGAGAACCATTATCTTGTTCTCAATTTCCCACTTTAACATCATCACCAGGGGTAGGCCAGGCAAAGTGCAGTTCTCTCTGGTAGCCTTGTGAAGTATAGTGTCAAAGTCTAATAGCTTGGTTTTCCTACACACAAGCGTTTCAATTTCTGGTCCTGGGATCCAGAAGAAGAGCGAAAACGCCAGGAAAGGTGGCAGCATGAGCAAGAACGCTTGCTTCAGGTAGGGGAGAAACTGCATGTCTTCCACTGTGTGGTCCAGCTGTTGAATTGTCCCTTTGGACAAAAGTTGGGCATTTCACGTCCCATTTTCCACATTCTATGTGGATGTTTGCACAAATTCTGTGGCAGATGAGCAATAAAATGAGGATACACACGTTCTCTGTGGTCTGGGCACTCTTACGTCTCCCTTCCCCACTGCATGGAAAGACCAAAAGGACTTGCTTAGTTCTGCATTCCAGTGCAGTGTTAAACCAAACATTGATCCTGAGCTGTATTTAAAGTATGTTGAGCACAGACTGCGAGACTCTTCATTGAAGACTCTTACTTGGAGCCTCTTTCTTGAGGCTGACAGTTTGCTGACCCTGACACCTTTCCAATTTTTCTTTAAAATTTTGGTCTTAATAGATTTTTGTAGACTTTTGCTTTGTTCACAGATTCTTCTTGGAAAACATCAAGCTAAATTTGGACACGAAGGGTTTTGTGGGGTTTTTTTGTGAGGGGGTAAACACCCTAAAAACAACCACTGGTTTTGCCTAGTGGTAGAGTAAGCTGTAAGAGTTCTGGGTTTGTGTCCTAGTTGGGAAAAGTGCAGTGACCCTCAGAACTTTAATTTCCCTGTCAATAGTGTCTTTTGAAATTGTGATTAGGTTTGGTCCCAAATAAACCATGTTTTTCCTCCTGTAACAGAAGAGCAAACAACTGTCAAGGGATGGAGACTAATAAAATAGAGTCTTTTAAGAATGACTTGTGTGTGTCTCTACGGCTTTCCTGAGATTATTTCTTTTTAGCTAATATGGTTGTTACCTCTTAAAATGGTGTAAAATTCTCATCATTATTTTTCTACGATATATGGGTGTTCTCTCAATAGTAAATGCTTCTCTTCTGGATTAGGCTTCTAATTTGAACAGAATTGGGAACTGGTATAAAAATAGTATGAAAGTCACCGTTCTTCCCCATATTCAAACCAGTTTTAAAGTTCTCTTTGAGATAATTTTTCAAAAAAATCTGTGTGAAAACAATTCTCAAGAAATAATTCCCATAAAGGAGGAAAAGAAACTACTTAGCTAATTATAAGCTTATCCTCTTCAAACCTTTACACACTATTATCTTTACACACATTTATCTTTTACTGGCATATCTCTTAAATTAGTACCAGTATCTGCAAAATCTTCTTGTTTATATGTTACTTTGCTGAAGTTATTAATGTAAAATCCATGCCCAAGTTTTTGGGATGTGTGATAGCTTTTTGGGACTCTTAATACTGTATAAAACCCAAGAAATTATTGAAGTTATTGGGCATAAATTTCATTTCTGACCAAAGATTTTTAAACTTCTGAGAAATTAAACTTCTTCTAGTATGTTAAAAGTTCCTCATGGTTTGAAGATGTTAAATGTAAGTGCTAGAAACAAGTGCGGAGAGGAGAACACCCATGGATGTTTCAAATTTTTATCTTCCTATTTCATCCTATTTCTGATTAAACCTTTCTTAGCAGGTTCATTTGCACTGTGGAGATACTACAGAATTTACTCCTAATACAGAATGCTTTGACTTTACCTGTACTTCCATCCTCTTATAGGAGAAGTATCAGAAGGAGCAGGACAAGCTGAAAGAGGAATGGGAAAAGGCCCAGAGAGAAGTTGAAGAGGAGGAGCGTAGATACTATGAGGAGGTATAAGGCTCAAAGGAGGAGGTTGTTTACTGATGGTTTTGTATTTAAATGCACTCGCTTACTTCACTACGAAAATCCCGTACCTAGATTAATTAATGAAAGGCCTTCTCAAAGCTTAATTCTCAGGAGGATTATTTCTCTTAAACACTACCGTAGGTGCTGAGGGAAAATATTTAAATATTTAGACAGGTATCCTCAGAAGCTCCACATAGGTGGAGGTGTCTAATTGGTGTGCAAGACAGGATGAGTCAGCATGGTTGTGTCTGGGCATGCACAGATGTCCCTCCAGAGGCAGAGCCTTGTATGTTTTGGCATATACTTGGGGCCTGGACTTGGTGGAACTCCAGACGAAATTGGTGACTGCCTTGGACTTGATCATATAGATATTTTGTAAACTGGTCTTTTAAAAAAAAAAAAAAAATTGCAGGCAATTTTCAAAGCTTGCAGTTGTAGAATATTAACAATATAGAAGATAGTGGTTTTCATGTGTGGGTCATTATTGCAGGAAACTGGAAAATATTAATATTTTCAGTTTAATTAGTTGTACTTTATGCAGATTGATGTCTTATGATCTGTGCTTGAGAACCACACTTGTGATCTGAACAAGAATTTTTTTTTCCAACCTTCAGAATAAGTTTCTCATTTACCATACTTTTATATGAAATTTAATAGACTCATGTTTTGAGAAACAGTGGTGCCATCCCAAGTGGAATATTCTTTCCAGTTTTGGGTATCCTGTCTCAGTATTCTTGGTACCACAGGTCCTTACCTAGCCATCTAAATATGACTTGTAGCCAAACTTTATGCTTCTACTTTTTAAGCTCACAGCTGACATTCTGTATATTTAATTCCCACTCTCTCCTGATCCTCTTTTTTTTTTTTAGGAACGTAAGATAATTGAGGATACTGTAGTTCCATTCATTGTTTCTTCAAACTCTGCTGACCTACTCTCCTCTTCTTCCTCTACCACTGAAGGAAGCAAGACAGTGGTGAGTTTCTTGTGGAGTAGTAAGGCAATAAAACTAAGCCATCTTCAATGCAAAGTTTCATTCTTCACTAAAGGCTAACAAAGTCTGGGAACAGTAAAAGTATTCCATAACTGGTGATACCTCAGAGTGCTATAGCTTGTGTATTTTTACAACTGAAGAGCCGTGCTCCCAAGCAAACTGCTACTGTCCCATTTTGGACTAGAGCAGAGGTTGATACTTTCTCTCTTCGCAGCTGCTTCTCTTCTTTAACTGATGCTGTGAAATAACAGTCCTGTTTTTCTTTGTTTTAACTACCTTCTCAAAGTCAGCAAAATCTCTGCCTCTAAAATCTTGAGTGTAAGTGCTTTAAGCATACCTGAGATGAGACTGAATCCTGCCTTCCCACTTTTCCTCCTTTTTTGTTCACCATGCATCCTAGAAAGCAGCAAAACAAACAGAGGAATGGTCACCCTCTGATTATGTTTTAATTTTGGGAATCCCAGATGTAATTTTCTCCTGCCTAAGGCACCTACACACAAGAAGTCATGTCCCTTTTTCCATTCAACTCCAGGATTGGGAATACTGTCTCATCTAGTTCTCCCCTCACCCTTCCTGCCCACTCTTACCACTCATCCCTGTTGAGGGGCATCAACCACGGCCCATTTTCCACATGGCTGTGTAGCAGCAATTTCCTGGGTCAAGTTGCTTACACCATGTTCATGGCAGTACCTGCACCCAGAAGTGAAGGATCTCATGCTGTGACTTACTCAAGCTCCACCAGTCAAGTATGACCCACTCCAGTACCACTTTGGGAGTAGTACTGGTGTTGCCATTTGAGAATGCCCAGAGCACACGAGGAGTGCTCTGCCCCTGGGCAGAGACAACAAGCTGAGGCCTCTCACAAAGTCCTTCCAAGTCCAATGGGAGACTATCTAGACTCTCAAAGTCATACAAGGATTTCCGCCAAAAAAATGTAGTGGGAAATTTTATTTTGTTATTCTGAACACTATTTCATAACTGGTCAGTTCTGCTCATGCTTGATTTAATACAATTAGTTTATGTTTTAGCTGAAGTCTTTGTTAAATCCAAAGTTAACCTTACCAAGGTCAACTGATTCCACTGTATAATGTAAGACGTTCTTTATGATAATAAGGTGTCTCAACGTGATGTGTCTGAGGGCAGCCTGTGCTTTTCTCATACATATGCTGATGCCAAATTCAAGAGAAGCTCCTTGTTACCTCCCCTCCTGTCTTTTAGGACACAAATGATTCAAACAGCTCTCCAGAGGAAGGCAAACAAAAGAAAGTTACAAAGCAGAAGAAGTTGCTGTGGGAGCAGGACAGTATGCCATCTCTGAAAAGCAAGGAAAATGAACTCTGGCAAGAAAAGAGGAGGTATGGATTAAGCCTAAGTATTTCTTAGCCCTGTGGAGCTTTATGTTCTGTGGACTTTTGGGATGTCACATCTACCCATGATTGATGCTCGAGCATTAGCATCTGGTGGGCTGGTGATAGGTGTAATATATCCTGATCAATATTCTCTTGCCACAGGTTGATGCATATATGGCAATGTGCAGTGCTAGTTTTGCATAGCCGGCAGCTTGCCTTTTCAGCGTATAGCTTTGCTGAAACTCTGTCACATCAACCAGATCAGAGCTTAGATAACTCAGACACCTCTGTATGTCACTGCACTGTGTCTTGTGTACAAGTTTCACAAGCCGTTTGGAGGAATGAAGGAGCAGTAGCTGTTTTCACTCAGAATCTGTGTGAGATTGCCTGGCTGTCTCAAAAGTGCTGTACCCGAACTTGCCAGGTGGTGTCCAAAATCTTGGTCTTTGCCCGACTGCTAATAACAGCTTCCACAAAGACGACAAGCGTCTGATGGTGATGAACACTGGATAGAAAACACTGAGAAAAGGTGCTTCTCTGGCAAAGAAGCCATTTTCCCCAAACCCAGAATGATCTTTCATGCATATAAGCGGCGGTGTGTGAGGGAAGCAGGAAGACTTGGCATGCTTGGTGACTTGTCAATTCGTGACTGTATATTCCTTTGTCATTGCTGACACCATAACGAAATCTTGTTGCAAAAAATAGACTGATACTCAAAAGTCTGATTTTGTTTTTATATTCTAGATGGAATTATTCCTGGCTTTACTTATACAATGTGACTTATTTCTGTTGGCAGTGGAAATAAAGTGCTCCCAGGACACCCAGAGATGGTTATCTTGAAAGGAGGTGGACAGGAGCCCCAAGTGCTGGTGATGGGGCGCAGCTCGCCTGCCAGGCTGAATCTGCCGTTGACTCAGGGTGAGAGTCAAGACTCTTCATATATGTGTATTCTTTTTCAGATAGAAATCTCACAGTTATTTACAGTGGCTTGAAATCTAACTCAAAGAATTTTGGAAATTAGCAGCACATTAATATCTTCAAAATTTGAACATCTCAGATGCAAAAGTTGTTCTCTTTTAGTAAAGATAAATATGTTAAGATGGACTTTAAAATCTTATTTTCATCAGAGATGAGCATTTCAACTGCAGTTAAGAATCTTATAGGCTCGCATGTTCACAGGAGTAAACATAGTTATCTTCCATCTTTTACATACTCTTACCTACATACAGGATTTATCTTGATACAGAAAGTGTATTTCCAACACTTAGTGTTTTGATAGCTCATTACATACTTTATGCCCATTTCAGTCCAGTAAAAATAAATACCTGTGATATGTAACCTTTTCAAGCCAAATCTAAATTGACACCTGTTTCAATTTTGTCATTAAAAATGTCTGATGATGTTTAGAATGAATAGATTTTTTTTTAAGCTTCCATACGTACTGATGTTTTATGAATGAAGGAATTTCCCCAAAGCATTGCTGTCAACAGGATCACCTAAAAAAATGCAAGTTCACTAATTTAGCATGATTATCTAATGCAAGTGAGCAGTGGAAAGTAGGTAAGTAAGACAGAAAGCAAATGTAGATTTTGAAATCACCTTCTAGGTTTTTGTTTTCAGACTAGCATAAAAATTGATGATTCTAAAAAATGAAATATCTATGGATAGAAAAGATTTCAGTGTTACTACTTGCTCCAAATGCAAATTCAGTTTATTTAACTTAGCAGGTCAGCTTTCTCTGGCATGATTTTATTATATTTTTAGTTCTTTGATAAAGGTTGCTCAAATAAAGAAAGCAGAAGGTATTACTCAGCAATCCATCCTTGTGGATTTGTAATAGTGATTAAGTGAACTTCAAAGGTTTGACATTTTTTAACTACTTCTGCAAATCACGCTTTTTTCTAGGTTCTCTTCGTCAATTTAGTCCCCTACAAATATTCTGACAGCTCCTTTGCTGCCCCTTAAAGCATCACATCCTTGCTCTCTCCTTAAGTCCTTAAACTAGTCAGGATTAGGGGCTTTTTTTGTCTTGATACCAAAAATAGGGAATGGGACTTTCACAGGCCCCAGTGAAGTGTTTCTTTTCCTCTAAGCCAGCTGGTTGGTGCACGTCAGGGTAAGGCTCTCTCTGGCCTGTGAGCCACAAATTTTGTCTGGAAAGATCCAGGCAGTGCGCTCTGTCTCAGAAATGGGATGGTCAGCTGCCTGGGCATCACACAGATCACTGCAGATTGCTGAGAGGCTGTTCCTGTCACTGAGCCTTGTGCAGCCATCTGAAACACAGAAGGAAATTACAAGGGAAGAATTCTGCTTATTAGTAGGCTTATGGAGAGAAGTGACTACATCACCTTCCTCTTAACTCTTGCAGTTGAGAAGGTTGGATCTCTGAGCACCACAGGAAATTTCTGTGTCTCTGGTGCTTCTGTCCTTAGGACAGAAGTACTTTATTTTCCCAAGTGCTACTCGTGGACAGCTGTTTGACCTCTCCCTTTCTTCCTTCAGAAACTGAGATTCATCAGCAGGGCAGGTCATGTGTATGTGAGGGTAATGCAGGGGGACACTGTCCCATAAAGATCTTCTGGTGTAGCAGAGTCTGTCTCTGACTTTGTGTGGGGTTTCTGAAAACTTTTAAGTAACAGTAAATCTCATGTCTCCTTTATGATGTGCCCACGAGCTGTGCTGGTCTGTAAGTATTGACAACAGCATTTTATCAGAAGTATTGAGATTTCCCCATGTTCCATTGTAGACATCTCCTGGAATCAGCTGACAAAGCAGTGCCCACATCGTGCAGAGGACATTTGCCAGAGTGTGGGCCAACAGCCGAGCTCCACGGAAGAAATGAGAAGGTAAGAACATAAAATAAAGGATATTTCAAGGGTTGAGAAGTCCTGCTCACTCTCTTCTCTTTTATATTCCTACTTATATTCCTACTCAGCTTTCTTTATCAGTTGAGTTTCATCAGTAGTCTTGCAGTTTGCAGACACATCTGATTCTTGGCTTCCACACCGAGACTGTTAATTTTCATCCACTTCATTTCTCATTACAGGTACCCCAGTAACTAGTTTCATGAGGGAGGATATCTACTTCTTGCCATTCTCTGTCGTCTTTCTCCTTAGCTCTTTAAAATGCTCATCTACATGCTCATCATCATTCATGTGCTTCATGTATTTTAAGTCCCTAAGACAAATATTTGTAGCTAGTAAGTGGGAATGTCAGGGTGGGAACATCAGGTGAAGTCTGCTCTTGGAAGTTGGTACCTGAGAGCTTCAGTCTGCAACTTCTAAACACCCATTGATTGCTATTTTCTAGTTCTTGAAGAATGCTAGCTTTTAAAGGAAGATACATAGAGATTAGTATTTTCTTTCTGCTATATATTTGGTGAGGTTTTATTTAGTCTCTGATACTTTGCCTTGTGTTTTTGAGTGAGCATTACTAAAAACTAACTTTTCCTTCAGTAAAGAAGGGATGTGTTTGCCTATTATTTGCAAAAAAAGTGCCTACGTAATGAGAAAGGAACATCTGTTTTCATTAGCATAGATACATAAACACAGTCTCCTGCAAAATAAGTGTTACCTCTATGAAGCTTATATCCAGTCAAAACTAATGTAGATCAAGGTTTGATGACCTAATCCTCCTAACAGACTCCTCATGTGTATTTAAGAAAATTGTTATATAGTCTGTAAACAGCTTCAAGCTGGTTGAAAGAGGCTTTAAGAGGTTGAATCAACCCTATGATTTCTGAAAACAAAAAACATGCATGGTTTTTCTCACCAAATTCTTGCAGGATAGAATGGATACGAATAGCAATAGACCACTTTTCAGTGTTGGTAGCTTCCACAGACCCTCTATCAACAACTCTGCATCTGTTCTACCAGTGTGCTTCTGAGCACATCCCCTGGGCAACCAAGACTACAAGGCGTTGTGCCTTGGCTTCATCATGGTATAAGCTATGTTGAGTTGATAGATGGGTAGTAGTCTGCACACAGCTGATTATCCTGTGAGTTATCTGATTGAGCAACTGCAAGCAGATCTAGAATCCAAACTAAAACCATGCTATTTTTCATTGTGTCAGAATGGCAGTGGACAGCAAATTCGTACGTTGTTTACCTTAGATAAAATCTGGAAATCTTGAATTCCATCGGCTGGAATTTCTCTGTACCAAACCTCTGTTTTCACTTGTTCTTCAGCTGTAGTAATGCGTTTCCTCTCCTGTATTTTAGGGCAGGCTATCATGAGAACTTCCGGTCTGGGCCATCGTCTCCCTGCTCTCCTGCTGCTCTGAGTCAGTCACCCAACAGGTACAAAAGGTCAATAAGGGATTTTGCAGACTGATTACATCTTGTAGTCGCTGGTGAACTGCTGCAGTGTAAATCACACCAGTATTATGTGGATGCACTATTAGTTCTTCTTGATGTTGCAATTTGTAATCATCCACATAATAAACATGTGGCTCCCTCTCCCATGTTTCTTGCAGACTTCAGCAGTATTGTTGTGTTTTAAAATAACACAGTTCAGAAAGCAGCTCTAGGACTCTGCTTGATCACTGAAATTTTAATGAAACTGAAATGCGATAATATAGGTCCCAGCCAAAGTAAGCAGTAAAGCGTGAGTTCAGAGCACTTAAGCCTAAGGGTGTTGTCTTCACTGTGAATAGTTACATGCTCAGGAGTAAGGTATGTTCTAGATGTTGTTACCAACTGACATTTCAACACTTAATGATTAAAAAAAAAAATCCTTCCCTTAATTTCCAAACTTGAACTGCATTTTGCTTTTTTGCTGGTTTTTTGTTGTTCTTGTTTGTTGTTTTTTTTTTAATTTGCCTATATTTGTGCTAATCTCCTGGAGATTTGATTCTCTCAGGCAATGAGCTTTCAATGAGAGATCTGTACCAACTCTAAATAAATGTTAACTGTAACCTGATAGAATCACTGATAATTGGGAGTATATTAAAGCCAGTTGGCTTACTATGTAGGGTAAAGTCATACAACACAGAATCTGTAGCAAGTTTTTGTTTTATTTAAATAATACTTTTCTTGGTGTTTGATAGCAGAGCCCTCCTTCTGATGCCATTTGCATTGTCATGAAACTGTTGATGCAGAACTCGGCACTTGGCCTTGTTAAACCTCATAAAGTTGGCCTTGGCCCATTGATCCAGCCCGTCTAGGTCGTTTTGTAGAGCCTTCCTAACCTCAAGCAGATCAGCACTCCCACCTAACTTGGTGTGCTCGGCAAACTTACTGCACACTCAATCCCCTCATCCAGATCATTGATAAAGATATTGAACAGAACTGGCTCCAAAACTGAGCCCTGGGGAACACCACTTGTGACTGGCCAACAACTGGATTTAACTCCATTTACCACCACTCTTTGGGCCCAGCTATGCAGCCGGGTTTTTACCTAGCAAAAAGCATGCCTGTCCAGGCCATGGACAGTTTCTCCAACAAAATACTGTGGGAGATGGTGTCAAAGGCCTTACTAAAGTCTAGGTAGACAGCATCCACCACCTTTTCATCATCCAGTAAGTGGGTCCACGTCCTGTGCTTGCTTTTCTGCAAGGCAGAGGTGCAAGCTGATTCAGCAACATGGTTGAAGGATCAATGTGTATTTACGTGAAGACCCTCAGTGCTCCTTCTTCCCATCCTGTCCCTCTCCATAAACCAGTGTAAAGATTTGGCTGCATTTTAGCATCAGTTGCTGTTCTGTTTTCTTAAAGTCATGTTTGTGTCCTAGGTCTGTCAGCGGAAAGAAGCTTTGTTCTACCTGTGGGCTTCCTCTTGGAAAAGGAGCTGCCATGATTATTGAAACACTTGGTCTTTATTTCCATATTCAGTGCTTCAGGGTATGTTTCTGTCTTTATAACAAAAGATCTCAAGTCATGCACATGTTGAGGGCTGTAGATGTGAAACTGAAAATGAGAGGATCAAGGGATTCTTGTGTTAATGTATGTATGTTTGTAGAGAAGTGGAAGTAATGTATCGAATGTGTTATGTGTTATCAGACATGTTAGTTGGACTAAAACCTGTGATTTAGCAAGCAAACTTAGTTTCCTTACTTACGGAGGGGAGCATCATATAATTTCCCAGTTGTAGTTGTTTTTTAAATGTAATTTTAGTTACCTTGACGGGTGGGGTGTTGGGAGGAAAGAGGTTTTTTGTTTGTTGGGTTTTTTTTCCAAAAACCTGGTCAGTCCCAAAGCCATCTTTCCATGGTTGGAATGGATGATGTATTCTGGCTTTCACCAGAGCTCTTAACAGAAATACTTCTTGACTGTTCTTGAGTGTTTTGGTCTGGAGATGACTCAAGATGGTGTTTTCTAGAAAATTCAGAAAATGTCTATTTCCATTGTCTTTGGCCCAAATGGTATTAGACATTTGTGAAGCCTTTTTTGGTTTTAGACATTTATCCAAACTAAACTTCTGGCCTCTCTAAGCTTTGTCTGTCACCAGTGAGCTGGGTCCAGAATGCAACGTTAAAATGAGATGTCCTTTGAAGTCACTGGACTTCACTTCTGTGTAAGTGGAGACTGCTGAAATCCAGTCCTAAATATTGTTGGCTCTGAAAAAGCCTTTCACTGATTTGCAGTGCTCCCCAGGAGTATGGGCTGGGTTCTGGGGGTGTTGTTTTTTCTCACTGTTCCGAGAACTACTGAAACGAAATAGAAGTCAAAATTTGGGAAGAGTTGTGACAGGGCATGGTCTCTCTTATTTCCTTTGTTCTCCAATTGACAGTGTGGCATTTGCAAGGGACAGCTGGGAGATGCAGCAAGTGGGACAGATGTCAGGATTAGAAATGGTCTTCTTAACTGCAACGATTGTTATATCCGATCCAGAAGTAAGTACCAAATCCTGCCTGAAGGACAGTGAAGTATATCAATACTATTGCTGTGATTTTAGCTGGTGGGATTGTCTCCTCCTGGCTTTGCCACTCAGGCATAGGTTCGCCATAGAAAGGGGAACCTTCCCATGCCATCTTAGTTATCCTCTTATATAAAAAAAAAATTTCCAAGCCCATTAATTCTTGCTCAGAAGATCTCTGCACAGCAGTATTAGACTTAAAGACTGTTTCTGTGCATAAATATAAAGTCCTACACTGTGCACACGTACTGCATGTCCTGGAGGTTTGGATCTGTCACATCATGTGAGACAGTGTAGGTACTTCTACTAGGTCTAGGCTGTGGGCCTTGCTTGGTGAAGTGCCCTTTTTTTATGTCTCCAGGCCTCTCTTTGTGGACGAAATGGTCATGTAAAATTTTAGGAACATTTTGTAACTCACCGTGAATCCTTGTGGTGGTATCCACAGATACATGCAAAAGTGTTAGTTGTGCAAGTTTTGAAGAATGACCCAGATAATTGCATGTCAGAAAAAACTTGATGCATTTTTTTGCCTTAGAGCAGGTCACTTGAATGTCCTTCCTAGTCTTGGATTTCTGTGGCTGATACCAAATTGCTAGAGCATTTCAGCTTCACACTGATGTCACCAGTGATATGAGATGGGCAGGGTTCATGTTGGCTTCTGCTTTGTGGAAGGCAGTAAGATGCAGGGGAAGAAACCATGGGAGTAATTGTTGCCTTCCTGTTATGTGTTTAACGACATTTCTCAAAAGCAGTGGCTGTAGAAATGTGGGAGTAGGAAAAGTACCTACCTTTGCCAACAGTAGAATAGATATTTTTTCCTGTTTCAGGAGAAAAGGTATTTCCCCATCGGCAGAGCTAGAGGGTGCTATTGTATAACCATTTGTTTGGTGATTATTTTATTTTTTTTTAAATTCTGCTAAGACACGTTAGCGACTTTTTATTATTATTTATTTACCCTAACACATTTAGAAATAGCTTTTCCTCTTCAGGCTTGATACTGCAAACCTCCCTCATGTGGATGAGGTCCTAACCCTTAAAATGCAAGTTTGCACTTCCATCTTTACATGAAAAAAGAGAGGAAGATGATGAAAGTCATATTTTTCCTTTTTTTCTTAATCCTTTTCTGCTTAAATAAAAAACTGAGGTCACTTAAGGATTGATGAAGGCTAAAATAAATTATCGGCTTATATGCTGTAGGAATCATCCCCTCCATCATCATTTCTGCAGCAAATGCAGTACAGAGCTATGCACAGTGTTTCTTGCAGTAAGGTTTTGCATTTGTACATACCTAGCACAGTGGTAACCAGGTCCATGACAGAGGAAATAGGTTTTGAGGAAATGTGTTGTTCCTGGAGAGTAATAATGACCAGGGTTTGTCTTTTTTCCTACAAATTGTCTCTTCCAGCTGTATCCATTCCTCATGCAAAATCTAAAAATATGAGTTAGTTGAATTTAAGTTACACTGGCTCTTGCTGACAGTTTCAAAGGGATTGATTTTGATAAAACTGCAAATATGGTTATTTGCTCATTTTTAACTAGAATTTGACGGACTCCACATCTGAAATTAAGAACTAGTGCAATGTTAACGTTTTGGCTTTCAGTTTTGTGAAGTCTGATACTAAATATAAAATCATTTGCTTGATTGCCCAGCTCATGCCTTTCTGTTCTGACAGTTTCATCTGAAAACCTGTGCAGCCTTGTGCACAACTGATGGTCTCTGACCAACCAGGATTAACCAGTATTGTTTTGAGATGCTTGTGGACATCTTGATGAAATATTTTGGCCGCCAGAAACTGTGGATAATTCTGTTTCAAAATAAATTATCAAAAACCTTAAGAGAGAAAAGCGTTAAGGAATATGTAGCGCTCCAGGGTCCAAATTATTTCTGTTTTTCAAATAAAAGTGAATGGGATTTTACTGGCAGGTTATTTCTCTACAACAAAACCTCCCAAGGAAAGGGACTTGGTATTTAGTGTCAGACATGGGGAAACGTTACAGGCTTGTGAATGCTGAAGTCAAAGGCAAGAAGTAAATTAATGAGACTCCCTGCATGGCCAAATAACACAAGAGCTCTGTGTAACTACATAACACAAACCAGGCACAGCTAAAGATGCCTCATCAGTCCTGTGCTTTACTATTTTGCCACTGCAGAGCCTAAAAGTAAATATTGCCACAAGTACTTTGGGAGTAAAATGAAATAAAAGTGCATGTGGAATGCATTTGTCCATAAGGCATGGAAAATCTATTTCCACTGGAGCTATGCTGAATCTTGCTTTGCAGTTAGTGCCCCGGCTTTGTGGGAAGGAAGAGAAGCAGGGCATCAATATTTCCAGATAGGGTTTTTTGAATTGCAGAGATCACATAAGGAAAAGCCTATGTATGTTTCTTAAAATCTGTCAACTAATGACTTATTTTGGTTTTGTTTTACCCAGCTGCTGGACAGCCAACTACATTGTGACATGACTTTCAGTCCTCATAACTTTCAAGAAGGAACTCTCTCCTCGTATGTATTGGCTGCTTCCAGACAATCACTTGTAAGAGCTTGAATCCATGGACATCATGGCTCTCATCTCATTTTGAAATACACATAAAAACGTTGCACCTGGTCCTTTAAAATGCAATATGTTGGTTTTTTCCCTTTCTGAAGAAATTTGCAAAATAAGTGTGACCATGTTTGGGAAGGCAAAGCCTAGGTACTATAAAAAAAAAATCCCACCTTTCAGGTATGCTTAAGATTTTCAGTCTGTTACCTTGTTCTTTGGAAAGTAATAAGAAAATAAACATGCAGTAAAGCTGTTTTGTTTTAATATTTCTAGGAATTAAAAAGTTGAAGTTTACAGAACCTTTATAGAATATGCCAACTTGAGCTGAGAAGTAATTTTAAGATAGTATCTAATCAGTGCATTTTAAAAACTAAACATCACAGCACAACTTCTCTGTTATAACTGAAGCTATAACTTTTTTATACAGAGACTAGTTTGGTAATACATCCTGTAATTCTGAAGCATTTTGTGTTTATATTGCGTGTGGTTTGGGTGCCCTCCAGAGCAGGGAATTAAAAAGCCTTGAACCTCTGTTCCTCCATACACCCACCCCAATAAAGGCAGTAAAACCCTGGAGTGCAGAAGGCGGGCAAGGGTAGGCAAAAAAGCTTTAACTTGCTTGTGGTTGGGCCAGTTTTCCTTTTGATTTAGCATGTGCTCCTTACTGAAGTGATCCAGCAGCTTGCTGAAGCAGCGGTCAGAGCTGCGTCACTTTATCTACAATACACAGACAAGGTTAGGGGAGGCATTGCAATTGTAAAATATCCTAGCACTGTTTGGTAAACAGTTATTAGAAAGATCCCATTTTAGCAGTTCACAATGCAACTTCAAATGGAAGAAAAAAACCCCTACTTATTCTGCCTTAGAACAGTCATAAAACTAAATTAATATTTATTTTGTCTATGTGCACATCCACTGTCTTTCGATGTGTTAGTAAATGGAAATGAAGTGGTTATTAGGGAAGAAATAATTTTGAGTTGTTTTGTAGCTACCAACTATTTATTTAAAAGTTGCTTGTATGTGAGTTGCATACCCATGCAAAACTGCGTGTCATTGAAAACCCATGTGCTATGTTGTCACTGGAGGACGCTGTGACTGTCTGCTGGAAGGTTACATGTTACTTCCTCAAAATTGTGCCTTAGAAAATGCAAAGCTGTTGCACACAGTCAGCAATGACTTATGGATGCAATAAATCCAAAAAGCTTAAGTTCTTCATGGACTTCACTTGGGGAATATTTTTTAAAAATAAAAATTAAAAATCAGAAAAATGTTTTGGAAAAAAAACAGTGATGTCCAGTATTTTGATTAGTCATCTGCATAATTTACTGTTGAAGGGTTTTGATAAGCAGGATGTTTACATGTTGGATGTGGTCATTGTAACATTTTCCTGCAAATAACACATAACGTGGAAATTCAAAAAGCAGATTTTATAACTGACTTTGCACATCTGTGTACTTCTATGTGCTGCATTAAGGATGTGTGAATATATGATGTCTGGCCCTGATCTTTAAAGGAGACCATGCATGCTTGCGCATCTACCACCGCTTCTCTCATGTGCTAGAGTTTAGATGTGCAAACTGGTCCCCAAGTGTACAGAGGGGTTGGTGTTCACAGAGGTCAGATCCGCTTCTGATCTGCATAGGGGGCAGTGCCCCAGGGGCTTAGGAGCATGGCTGGAACATCAGTGCATGGACGAGGGGTGGGTGGGGGTATGCACTGCACTGCAGATGCACCGCTGGGTCTCTGAAGCTGCTTAGAAATTGAAGCCAGTGTCTAACAATTTGTTTCATATCTGCATGTTTTCGTGAAGTTGATTGTATGTAAAGAAAAATGAAGTGACTTTCTCAGACTACGATTTTCCCCCCCTTCATGAACATCTGTTTACCAGCACAGGATTTTCAACAGTTTTCTAAATTGTACTTGCCAACTGCTTATGTTTGATTTTATATTTCCTTTGGAGTCTTACATGGCAAATTTGTTCAGGCTAAGATTTTTTTTTCCCCTTTTTTTTTTCATTCACATAAATGAGATACATTTCATATCATATCCAATGATATCAGGAACTTTGAGCACAAAAAAAAATAAACGCTTTACTACATTTGAACTACAATGTAAATTTATTTGTTGAAAAAAAATCATTTATTATTGCTAAGCAAGTATGTAATGGATTTTAGATGTTTCAGAATTTATTTAGCCTCTTACTACTTCAGAGAACCTAAACAGATGTCATAACCCATCTGTATTTCCCAGCCCCATTTTCCATGGTGTATTTTTTCCTTACTCTTGCTGTGTAGTATTGTTGATGCAGTACTTACGTGGTTTTCAGTGAATGTCCTACAGGTTGGTGAACCAGAAGGGGACCATCCTTATCTGCATGTCCATTCAAGGACAAGGATTGCTGTCCTAGCTGGGGCTAATGTTGAATACTGATTATGCTAATCTTTCCTTTATTTTATTTATAAATGCCTCTGGAAATTAGGAAAACTCATCTAAAATGCAACAGCTTTTATAGTAAATGTATGTTTATAAATAAAATGTTGGTTACCTTCAGTGGTGTTGATTTTACTTATTATAACTAACTTCTATTGTGATGTGTCTGTGAAACTGTACTGCAGAGTGTGTACTTCCATTAGTAAAAGTTTCTGCTTGATTGGGGTAGGCTGAACCAAGCTACATTCCACAAAACTTCGTATATGGGATGAGACGTATAAAATAAATAAGTAATAAAAAAGACGTATTTGAGATGGGACAATACCCTGTAGGTTGCTGTAGCCAAGTATTTCCAAGAGCACATGTGGCTGTTTTGGTAAAAGATGAGCAGAGATGGTTTTCAGTGAGTCAAACCCAAAGTCCTCAGAAGATCTTTCCTTGGTGTGGGTGGACTGTGGTTCAGACTTTGACTCAATAAAGCGCTTTATGTATTGCAAAGCTAAATAGATGCTTGGTTAATTCCATTCCTACGTAGCGAAGATCCTTGAGTTTCTGCTTAGTTACACACGTGCTGCAGTAACTTGCGAATTCTTGAGTCTCAGCAAGTGTGTGGCTTCACCAGAAACCAGTAGAAAGTTCACACAAAATTTTAAACTAATAACTGCCTCTTTCTTCCTTTTAATTGAGTCTTCAGTGGATGATGGGGTTGGTTTTGTGCCAGAAGCACATCTTGGCTGTTAGATGAGTCATGGGGAAGTACTGACAATTTAATTTTTTGAAAGCAGATTTTTATCCTAGTGCCTTAATGGAAATGGTAGTGGTCTTACGTTATTCCTGCATGTACATCTGTGGATGAGGGGCCAGCGGTGCTCTGTGGTGGCAGAGGTACACTGGGGTTCCCAGGGGCAAGCATTGGGGCTGTGTCTGTGGGACCAGCTCGCTGCTGCTGGAGGTTGCTCTGAGGCTGGGTTTGCAGGCAGACAGCTATTTCTGCTTCACCCGAAATTGCTGGGCTCTCTCAGACAAGCACGGTTTTGGTGACTGTGATCCTTATGAGCTAAATAAAATGGTAGAAATCCTGGTATGGTGGGTTTTGGTTGTTTTGTTTTTTGTTTTTTTTTATTTTCTGCTGAATATGACCTGACAGCTCTGCCCAGAGCTATTTGTGATGCTAAAAGGGCATTGATGGGGCTGCGCTCCACCTGCACTGATTTAATGCCAAAATAATTCCTCAAACGTTATAAAAGAGGAGTCATGTCACCTGCTCCCCCCACCAGCACCTTTGTCTGCAGGTAGCAAAGGCTGCCAGGAGTGCCCTGAGGGGGACCACCCTGCTAATGGGACCTCAGCGTGCCTCTGGAGAGGATGACAGTTTGCCCAGCAGTGGGATGAAGCTGGGGCATATGGAAGTAATGGTGTGGGAGAGGAGTGGGCTGTGACAGCTGAGATGCAGGCATTGAGGCAGAGGATACCCTATGTCATGGGGAATGCGTGCCAGGTCACCCAGGGGAGCTCTGTGCCTTCTCCAAGTGCAATGACTCCATCCTTCCTCTTTTCCTCATTGCAGCCAGGCAGACAAGGACTGCATTTCCTCCTCTGCACCCTTGCTTCGGGGTCGAGCTGACCCCCTTTGCTTTGCACTCTGTTTCCTCCCTTCAGCAAGTGTTTTGGTGCAGAGGTGTCAGTGACACAACCAGGCGCTGGGAGATGCTGGATGCTCCAGGCACAGGTAATAAACAGCAGTAGCTCACTCATCTCGTGAGTATTGATCCTCACCCAGATAACTCTTCTAGGGGAGAGTTAAAAGCAGGCAGCTACCACTTTGTTTAGAAAATTAGCTTTAGATACTGTTCTTGCTGCCCAAATTAGCAAAGATTTGGTCTCAGATGGATCTCCTTCCTGATAATGGGAAGCTGGTTAAGTGGTTACTCAATAAACTTTGCAGAGAAGGGGCTCACACCGCTTTTCTCTGCGCTTGTCTCTACTCTCCTGAGAAAAGGTTGGGTAATTGAGGAACAAGAAGACAAGATACTCACTTTCAGAGACACATCTGCAGTGAAAATCTGAAAGGGTTGTGGACACTGGTAGTGAGCAGGTGACCACTTTCTTTTCCAGGCTGCTGGAAAAGAAAAAGAGATGCCAGAAAATTACATCTCCTGTAAAGGCAAATAGGACTCCTATATGCCTCTAAAAGCCTCTGGTAGGAATATAATTTCATCTGAATTTCCTGATAAGAGGAAATGACTAAACTGAAAGCCACTCAAGTTTTGCAAGCAGAAAGAGCCCAAAACAGAGATAGGAAAGTACAGGAAGGGCTGTGACTCTTACTACAGTTTGGTGTGTGGTTGGTATTTTGAGGTGGGTTTTTTTTCTGTTTTCTTGTTCATCTTGTTTTATAAACGAATGTAACATGAATTAAACATGCAAGAGTGATGCTTACTCCTGTACAAGGCTATAGCTGCTGCTCTGTAGACCTTACTGAATACACCATACTCTGCACAAGTAGCCATTGGAGTTGTCCTCCACAAAGCATCTGAGGTTTTAAGCCATTTAGAAAAAAAAATCCATTATTTAAGACAATCTTAAGAGTTAGTGTTTACTCATCCATAGAGTCCATCTGCTTCACTGCACATGATGCACTGCAAATTCTCTTAGCTATTGCCACATCTACAGTTCACAGATGCTTTTTTCCTAAGCAGGTACCCTGCTGCTTAAAACATGCAGAAACCAGTCATATGGGTCTAGAAACTAAATCAAAATTAACAGAAATGCAAACATTTCCTTGAAATAGCATAATTTATCAAACAGAAGAAAACAAGATTTTTAAAACTCCTTTTGTCTGTCACCTCTGATCATCGACAACAAATGTGTTCAATGACAAGCACATGAGCAGAGATGTGCCACCTGCATCGCTGAAAACCACCTGGTAGCTTCATATGTTGAGTGTCAGAACAGAACATTAGGGCTTTAGGGACAAAAATTGTCTCAGATGGTTAGGTCAAACCTTTTCTTTCAAAAAAGTAAATACCAAAATCTGATAGAAAATTA